ACTTATTTTGTCCAGGTCTTCTTGAAGGGCATGACAGTCATCTAAATTTCTTATCCTTCCTATTATCTTAGCATCATCAGCAAACATGTTCATATAATTCTGTATACCAACTGGTAGATCATTTATGTACACAATAAACATCACTGGTGCAAGAACTGAACCCTGTGGTACTCCACTTGTGACATTTCTCCATTCTGATACATTGCCTCTGATTACTGCCCTCATTTTTCTATCAGTCAGAAAATTTTTCATCCATGATAGAAGCTTACCTGTCACCCCTCCAATATTTTCCAGTTTCCAGAACAACCTCTTATGTGGAACTCTGTCGAAAGCCTTTTTTAGGTCCAGATAGATGCAGTCAACCCAACCATCTCTTTCCTGTAATATCTCTGTGGCTCGATCATAGAAACTGAGTAAATTCGATACACAGGATCTTCCAGATCGAAAACCATACTGTCTGTCTGATATTATATCATTTCTCTCTAGGTGTTCTACCCATTTAGTTTTGATTAGTTTTTCCAATACTTTCACTATTACACTTGTCAATGATACAGGTCTATAATTGAGGGGGTCTTCCCTGCTGCCACTTTTGTAGATTGGAACTATGTTAGCCTGTTTCCACCCGTCTGCTACGATTCCTGTACACAGGGATGCCTGAAAGATCAGGTGAAGTGGAATGCTGAGCGTGTGTGTGTGTGTGTGTGTGTGTGTGTGTGTGTGTGTGTGTGTGTGTGTGTGTGTGTACTCACCTAGTTGTACTCACCTAGTTGTGTTTGCGGGGGTTGAGCTCTGGCTCTTTGGTCTCGCCTCTCAACCGTCAATCAACAGGTGTACAGATTCCTGAGCCTATCGGGCTCTGTCATATCTACACTTGAAACTGTGTATGGAGTCAGCCTCCACCACATCACCCCCTAATGCATTCCATTTGTCAACCACTCTGACACTAAAAAAGTTCTTTCTAATATCTCTGTGGCTCATTTGGGCACTCAGTTTCCACCTGTGTCCCCTTGTGCGTGTTCCCCTTGTGTTAAATAGACTGTCTTTATCTACCCTATCAATCCCCTTCAGAATCTTGAATGTTGTCGGAAAATCCGACACCATTTAATATCATACAGACAGATAATAATAGCTGCTGTATTACCAACAAGTTACCCATAGAAAACGTAACTTGTAGTGGAATTACCGTCTATAGAAAACGGGATATCATCACCACATACTATTATATTCACCACCTATTATGGTGGGAATTATTCTTAAATACATTAGTCTTTGGACTTTACCATCATAAAAACATCTTATATAAATTAACTTAATTATCAATATTAAAGTAGAGTAAATGTGACCCTTCTATCACTTTCTGAAATCTGGACAATGTAAGCCAGGCGTCAGGGAGGAAGGAGGGCAGCCATTGTTGTTGATACTAGACCAGAGGCTCACAGGAGCAAATACGGCTCCTGTTAATTTTACTTGGACGTAGTGTTATGGAAACCAAAGGTGTAACATTTTCAACACGCTGTCAACAAATCAAGTTAAGTGTTCTTTCCGAAACCCATGTATCTTTCATTTATGGCCATTAATGTCATTATATAGGGTGACCCGGTTAGAGCACGTGGAAGCCTCAAACTAAAGGTAATTAAGCCAGGTCTTCAATGTTCCATGTACAGTATTTTCTCTGATATAGCTTGTCATATATAGGTATCTGGCTTCACAGTTAGCGCCCTTTTGACAGGTCAAGACGAGGAAGCAAGATTTTGTGCACCAGTTACTGGGTGATGGAAGCTACCTCAAAGAGGATAATTTGGTGTCTACACCCTAGTTATACCTAGTGGACTAACCTGCTGTACTATAAGATAAGGAACCTTTTCAATGTATGTAGTTACTGTAGTTTGATTGGCTGCATATATATTAATTTAATAACCCCCCCTAATGTGTAGAGGATCGATTTGTGAGATTAAGAGATTATTGCAGAAATACAGTCCACTTAACATCATATAAATTGCTATCGAAGTATATAAATTAACGTAAATATAAATTCATATAAATTAAATAAATATAAATCTCACAGGTCGGTTCCCACAAATGTGGTGATCATGTCCCCCCCTAACTCTTCTGTCTTCCAGCGAAGTGAGGTTTAATTCCCGTAGTCTCTCCTCGTAGCTCATACCTCTCAGCTCGGGTACTAGTCTGGTGGCAAACCTTTGAACCTTTTCCAGTTTAGTCTTATCCTTGACTAGATATGGACTCCATGCTGGGGCTGCATACTCCAGGATTGGCCTGACATATGTGGTATACAAAGTTCTGAATGATTCTTTACACAAGTTTCTGAATGCCGTTCGTATGTTGGCCAGCCTGGCATATGCCGCTGATGTTATCCGCTTGATATGTGCTGCAGGAGACAGGTCTGGCGTGTGTGTGTGTGTGTGTGTGTGTGTGTGCCAAGCATGACTTAGGGAAACGCATCAGGTCAGTTACAAGTGTAAAACTAACTTTGAAGAGAGTGAGTCTTTAAACCTCCATCATTTCAAGCGAAGAACATAATATACCAGAATTTACATGAAGGTCATAATCTCCCGAGTAGCCTCGACGGAGACAGGAAGCCGGCGGCTTATCAAAGGTCCCGCCGTTATTGCTGAGGATTTGTTTGTTCTATGTCGATTTTAAACTGTAGTAGTTATGCCTTCAGCGGGTAGGCAGTTCCATGTGTTTATAACTCTATGGGCGAAAAAGCATCTGTTTTCTGTCCCACATTGTGACTTATTGCAGCCCGTTCCCAACGTTAAGAAAATGTCGTACTAAAATGCCTTATCCTAACCAACCAAAACAGAAAACGGAAGAGTATGTCAATTTCGCGAGCCACTTCCATTTTCTAGTACGACCATTGTTGGCTTTACGTAAAGTTTACATCAAATTCCGACGTCTGTTATGAAGACGGGCAGATCTTAGGTTTGTTAGTCATTAAGTTTTTTTGGCCTTCGGTAAAGTATATCCTGATGTGAGTATATCCTAAATATTCAGATATATATAAAGTATAAAGTATTCAGATTTTTTTATATTTCGCACCGCTAGGCTTCTCCCACTGGCGGTACAACAAGACATCAATGATAGACTATTATATTTGTATAAGAGCGACAGCCAGAGATAATCAAAAAGACAAGAGACAGGCAGAAAGAGACATGGAATGAGAAACAGGCAGACAGAGATAGTCGTGCCGAGAGACAAGATCGACCAGGGCAGAGAGAGAGAGAGAGAGAGAGAGAGAGAGAGAGAGAGAGAGAGAGAGAGAGAGAGAGAGAGAGAGAGAGAGAGAGAGAGAGAGAGAGAGAGAGAGAGAGAGAGAGAGAGAGAGAGAGAGAGAGAGAGAGAGACAGGAAGACAAACAGAAAATAGAGAGGCCGAGAACAACATGCACAGAGAGACAGGTAGACACAGAAGCAGACAGAAACATAATGATAGACAAACATAGATAGGGAGAAGAGGGACGAAGGGAGGATGTTTAAAGAGAAGGGAGGGAGACAGGTGGAGGGGGGGGGGAGGAAAGAGACAAAGGGTGTAGAGGGGCGAGAAGTGTGAGAGGTAGACTGGAGGGAGAAAGATGGAGAGAGATAAAAATAGGGGAAAGAAAGATGAACGAAAAAATTAAAGAAAAAAAGTGGGAGATAGACCCAGGCACAACCGGATACCTCCTCCCCCTATTGTAAGCTCATATATTAAACGTGAACTGTATGCCTAAAATTACGGGCTATTCATGCCCGTGCCACCTCTTGGGTGGATTAATCTTTATCAATCATCATTAACCTAATATTTGTCTAACGACGTTAGACTTTCAATGCAGCAGAAATCGATCCCGATTTTTTAAGAGAATGACGACTCGATGCAATAATTCATAAATTTGCATATACTTTGACTATCAACAATATCATATATAGGTCAAATGCGTACTGTAATTAACACAGCTAGCACCTGCAATGTTTAGGTAAACTGCGTAATTAACACAGCTAACACCTGCAATGTTTAGGTAAACTGCGTAATTAACACAGCTAGCACCTGCAATGTTTAGGTAAACTGCGTAATTAACACAGCTAGCACCTGCAATGTTTAGGTAAACTGCGTAATTAACACAGCTAGCACCTGCAATGTTTAGGTAAACTGCGTAATTAACACAGCTAGCACCTGCAATGTTTAGGTAAACTGCGTAATTAACACAGCTAGCACCTGCAATGTTTAGGTAAACTGCGTAATTAACACAGCTAGCACCTGCAATGTTTAGGTAAACTGCGTAATTAACACAGCTAGCACCTGCAATGTTTAGGTAAACTGCGTAATTAACACAGCTAGCACCTGCAATGTTTAGGTAAACTGCGTAATTAACACAGCTAACACCTGCAATGGATGATTACATCACGTTGCACATCAGATGTTGTCAGCTTTAGGCCAAGAGCAAGATATATACAGCTGTCTAATTTGAGATACCTGTGGACGTCACTCAGTAATGTTCATAGAAATATCAGTATCCGATATAAATACAATTTGCTTCCCACAATGTGCTTACTAATTTGACTGTAAAATTCAGATTTTTCCTGTGGCAGGTATGTGCGCGCAAAAAAAAAAAAACATCCAGTTTGAACTATAACTTTGTTATAGTTTCACACAATCGGGAATTTGAGTAGTTAATTTGAGTTAGTTTATAGGCCTTTTCGTTTTTATAGATTTGAGTGACCTTTTTCGTTAAATGACAACGTACGCAGCTGATACAATTTGAGAAGAATCGATCGACGAGCCGAGTGATGCTACCTGTCTGGAAGTACTACGAATCAGACTGCTATATTGATCAAATTTAAAAATGTACAATGCTATGAGTTTCGTGTGACGTATAGACACACGAAACATAATGTTAGTATGAGTGAGTGAGTGTTGACATGAGTGTGATGAGTGTGGCGTAAGACGGTGAGGTCGCGGCGTCTGGCAACACTGCACAGGGCGCAGCTGCCGGATCGATGGCCTTGAAGCTGTCCGAGACGCAGATCGTCTCATCATCTGTTGTTATCCATATTCAAACCACGCTGCTCATTCTGTTGATATTGTAGAAGCTCGTCAAAGTCATTTGCATAGTTGCTTTACTCATACGTAAAAAAACTGTGCCAGTCGTGTGCTGTGTTATAATAGAAACAAAAAGAAAAACAGTAACTCGATGGAATTAGAGTCTCGGACCGCCAGTGGTGGGAACATAGCGCGCCCAAACAAACCAGCGGAATTGCTCGTACTAATTTTCGAGTTTTAATGGCTAATACACGTTACTAGCGGGTGATCTCGGCGCAGCGGACCGCGGACAAGCTTTAAATGGGAGAGGAGGAGAGTAGATAGGTAAGGAGGGTGTGAGTGGCGTGTGGGGCGGGTTGTGTGAGGAGTGTGGCAGTGGCGGGGTATGGCGGTGTGTGTGGTGGTGGCGGCGGCGGGACACCTCGACCCAGCATGGCGTGGTGTTTACCTTCCTCACCCCTCCCCACCACCCCTGCCACCCTCCCTCACACACACACCCGTGCTACACCTCCACCACACACGCCACACGTGTGCATGTCAGTGCCCAAGTGACAGCAAGGCGGGTCATTGAGGCCGCTCATGAAAGATACTCAGGCTGTAAACTAATTCTCTCCCCCCCCTCCTCCTCCTCCTGGTAAACTCACCAACTTTCACCACACAACACTTGGCACTGTCCCGGGCGCTGCTGGGTGGCCCTCAAGGTGCCTTCCACTCCATGGTGCTCTTCATATTGACGCATTTCCAGACGTTATTAAAGCATCCTCAAGATTTGATGTTAGCTTACAATACAAAGCCTGAGGCACCCCCCCCCCCCAGGGCTACTGTTGTCACCAGGAGAAGGGGGGGGGGGGGAGGGAGACAGGGTGTAGAGGGGCGAGAAGTGTGAGAGAGGTAGACTGGGGGAAAATGATGGAGAGAGTTGTCACCAGGGCTGCTTTTGTCACCATCGGGCAGCGATTGATGCCACAGGGCAGCTGTTGATGTCACAGGGCTGTTGTTATCCCCTTGGCTGTTATCACCAGGGCTGTTGTTATCCCCTTGGCTGTTATCACTAGGGCTGTTGTTATCCCCTTGGCTGTTATCACCAGGGCTGCTGTTATCCCCTTGGCTGTTATCACCAGGGCTGCTGTTATCACCAGGGCTGCTGTTATCACCAGGGCTGCTGTTATCCCCTTGGCTGTTATCACCAGGGCTGCTGTTATCCCCTTGGCTGTTGTTGACACACAGGGCAGCTATTGATGCCACAGGGCTGTTGCTGACACCACGGGGCTGTTGTTGACAATAGAGGCCTGCTATTATTACCAGGGCTACTGTTACCAGAATTGGTTGTACATGGCTGGCAGAGGGGAAGGGGCAAGTGTAGGTGAACAAAGCTTACAGGTGTTCTTGCTTCTCTACAGCAATGTCACTGCACAGCTTTTTGAAGAACTTTCATGAATGATGCAATCATCATGAATTCATTGTACTTTTTCACATAAACCTTTTAGCATGTTAATATTTAGCGTGTATGTTAAATTTGACTGTAACATTAATTCTATTTATTATTAAATACAAATTCTGTTCACTTGATGACAAGTATGGTGTTCATTTCCTACGTTAATATAATTATTAAATAACCTAACCTGCGCATGAAATTAAAACAAACTGATGACATTTTGATGCTTTCTGAACCCATATCGTCATGACTTCCAGGATGGACTGGAATGTCAACACTTTTTTGTGTGTGTGTGTGGGATTGATTATTTTCTTCAACCATGTCATTGTGATTTATTCTCTACATCAGCAGGAATTCTTATTAAGGGAATACTCTACATGATATGGTTTGCATACAGATTTTGAAAACCTTTGGCTACCTAACCCAATATTGTGTATGGTGCCTGATGTAATGGTCTTGCATAAAAGGTGTACTGTATATACTGTTTTTTGAAATTAGAATTTGTTGATAAAATTACCCTTGTCCATGATATGACTATACAGTACTGTACTTCCCATTTAGGTCCTCTAACCAGCATACAAGAGTGGATGCTGAAAGAAAAATAATTTGTAGATACCTTGAGGTGCTTCTGGGGCTTAGCGTCCCCGCGGCCCGGTCGTCGACCAGGCCTCCTGCCTCCTGATAGTTTTGCCTACCTGATGACTTTTATTGATGTGATCTTGCATTCACAGTGTAGTAGTAGTTCAAATGCTGCTTTAGTTAATGGAGGATTTTCTTTTTAGTTGGGAAACAATGAACCTTTCAATTCAAAGTTTTAGGATTTTTTATTATAGCTAATTACTATTCAGAGACTTGGTCAGGATAGCAGGATCTTGTAATGTTGCAGCATCAAATTATGCATGTCTTATTAAACTATTTAATAATCTTAGTGCCATTCTTGTATAGACTGGATGAGCTACTTACAGTGTACAGTAATATTGACTAGGCTAGTAACTAATAAGGTAACAAATAATCCAACCCTTACATAAAATTAAGTAACAGGAAGAAGATGACAACATTTTGATCTGCCTTGGACTCTTATGAAGTCAGTTGTGACTTGATTTTGGGTTCACGATAGACCAAAATGTCGCCATTTTCATTTATTTTTGTGTGTTGGGTTATTTGTTTAAATCATGGCACTCTAACTTATTCTCAGTATCTAATATGATGTTTACATTTCAGAGCACTTCAGAATAAGTACTTTGTGAGAAGTGATCAAAGACATCGGTATTGAGAAGATTCTGACATGATGGACAATCTGAATGTAAGTTTTCATGATCATTGTAACCTCTTGTGCTTCATATTATCATATGGTGCTGAATAAATCCTAAGCCATGTAAAGATGGAAAAGTATATAGGAAAAGTTGGTTGAAGATATATAAATATGCAGTACTGTATATAATATTATTGAATGTGACAAAGATTAATGAATCTAGCATGAATCATCTCTATTATTCTTATGTTTTTTCTTCACTTGAGAAGGCAGTTGAAAAATTAACTATCCAAAATAAATTTTTTAAATTGGATTTGGCCTAACGCTAAAGAGATGCATTTCGTTAACTCTATTAACATTATCAAAGGCAAAGTTTAAATGGTTGCAAAGTTTATTGCTACCATATATATAGCTGGGGATGAGGTGATGGTGAAGCACCTCACTTATGGGCCAATAAGTCTATCGCTTCTTGCCAGTCTCCTATGTTTACATGATGGCTGGGGCGGTATATGTCCCGTTGTGCTCTTGAAGTCGGCAGAGTGTAATTTAGTGCTGGTTTGTTAGATGCATAGTGCCTCCCTGATGTTTAGTCTTCTGTTGTCGCTCTGTCGATTATTAAATATACGTAAATACACACTCAAATATGGAGTTAGGTGTGGGCACCCTTAGGGACACTTCATGGACAGGTCAAGTAGGGGAAGTTACTCAGGGATTGCTGAAGTATAAAGAGGAAATGAAAGAAATATATGCACAAGTTGTAAAAGAAAAAGAAACAATTAAAGAAGTACAGTATGCTTGGATGTCAAGAATAAGAATGAGTAGAAAAAATCAGATATTAGGCAAGCAATTAGGAAGGAGCTTGTCACAAGTAGCAAATTAGTTGAAAACACTGTAGATAGAAGTACAGTAAGTCCATAACCATTTTTGGGTGCTTGGAAAAGAAGATAACATCTAGGGTGGGCTGAGCAGCAGAAGAGTTGAGAAAATAATCATTGAGATTATTGAGAAAATAGTAGGTTTAGAAGGCCTCACATTATAGGAAAACGTGTGATGTTTAGGATAGGAAAATATGAGAAAGACGAGACTCACCCCTTAAGGGTGACATTTATTGGAGTGAAACAAATGACGGAAGTGCTTAGGGATGCCAGGAAACTGCAGAGTGATGAGGATAGAAAATGTTGGTCATTAACACAAGACCTCTCAAAAGAAGACAGAAAAAAGCTAAAATTAAACCTTGATGAAGCGAAATGTCTAAATGGGAATAGAAATTAAGACGAAAAATTATTTTTCTATAAAGTGATAGGGATTGGAAAACCCGTGAAATGGTACATAAAAGCATAGCAACAGTCATTAGAGGAAGGTGGAGTACAAGACAAAGGGAGAGGGAACATGTTCCTGAAAATTGTATATACCATCATAGATGAAGCGAGATAAAAAAAATACTGGAGCTAAACGATATAATTCAGCTTAAAGTACCAGATATTATCACACTAACAGTGACAAAATTTGAAGAAAGTATTTTAAATGAAGTTAAGTTTTTGTGAAGTTTTCTTAACAGAAAAATCAAGAAAGGTGGAGGTGTGGCTGTGCTGGGGAAAGAACATCTGAAGGGAAGAAAGTTAATAATCAACAACCCACAAGAAGTTGACATAATGGCACCACAAGTTTGGAGTCAGGATGATAAACTGATGTGTAATCGTAAATGCCTACAGCCCACCAGCAAGCAACACGTGGGCAAAGGAGGAAATACATGACAAACAAGAGGGTCTCATAATGGTCATAAAAGAGATTATAGAAACAACGGATAGATAAAAATCACGATTGTTGGTACTGGGCGACTTGTGGAAGGGTTTTGGGGTTAGGGTTACATGAAGGTCTGTGGTTGCTGTTTGATCCTTTTTGAAGTTTGGTTCCTTGGTCTTAGGGGGGTTAGACCTCTGAATAAAGGATTTCTCTTATCCCTCCTAGTATGAAGTGGATTCCTCCTCAGTCTGTTTGGCAGGTTTTTGCTACACTTCCTGTGACTTTATTTTTGAACTGGATACCAACTTTTTCAAGTTGGCATCCTCTTCTGTTTCCTTGTTGGAGTATGAGGTCCTGGTTTTGTCCTGTCAGGTCCACAAATGAAAAAGGTTTTCCATATCTTTGGTAATTTTCTTTTTGGCTCTTTCCTACAATGCTGGGACCAGGCATATTCAGGTGCCGAAGTTGCTGAAGCTCAAATCTGCTAGGTGCCCAAGTTGCTGAAGCTCAAATCTGCTAGACAGAGGTTAACGGATCATGTTCATTCCAGATCATTTTGGGGGTTGTTATGCACCAAACTTCGTTCTAAATCTGAGGGTTCATCATCTTCTGCATTGTTGTTGACCATGGCTGTTGTGGATACTGTTCTAAAGTTGTTTGCCCCGAATGCTGTTTCTCAAACTGTTTTTTGAAATACAGGGACAGACATTCTTTAGCCATGTTATGCCATCTCCAGAAGTCCACTAGGTTGCTTTTCTTTCTGTTCGTTGCTTCCATTTCATCCCTTTATTTTCCAAAGAGGGATATTACTCAGATTTTGGCAGCAGCTGGGCCTTCCCTTCATTCAAATCCAACCAGATGCTTCTGCGTGTGGGGCCCTGACAGCTGAGTGGACATTGCTTGGGATTCGTAGTCCTGAGGTTCCGGGTTCGATCCCCGGTGGAGGCAGAAACAAATGAACATTTTCTTTCACCCTGATGCTCCTGTTCACCTAGCAGTAAATAGGTACCTGGAAGTTAGACATCTGCCAAGGGCTGCTTCCTGGGGGTGTGCAACAAAACGGAGGCCTGGTCGAGGACCGGGCCGCGGGAATGCTAAGGCCCGAAATCATCTCAAGATAGCCTCAAGATAAGATGCGAGACCTGTTTCATCTTACACCCATTCCTAGTTTCATTATTTTTGGACTTCTAGTGATGGTAAGGGTTCTGGTTCACAAGTCTCACTGGTAATGTGGTTCTAGCTTTTTATTCTGCATCTCTGATTATTCAGTGTAATTGGCATTGACCCAGGTCTAATGGTTGATGAGATGTTTTCCAACAGCCCTCTCATGGCAAGCCACCAGTGGCAGTGTAGTGGGGGGGGGGGATTTTCTGAGCTTTTCTTGACATACTTCTCAAGATGTCTGAGAATCTGGGATTATTACTTTGCATTCCAGAACTTTACCTCAAATACCGTATTGTGGAGATTTGCTCGGCCACATGCGCTTCTTGATATTGTCATACAGGACTTTCAACAAGAGCATCATTGATGTGATCTTTCCTGTTCTCAAGTGAGATACATCTGCTCACTTCATTTTAGACCTGCCCTCAATTCTCATTCCTTGTCCAACATGCGTGGGGGTGTCCAAACCTAGTGCCCAAGATCTTCACCAAGCTCACTTGAGTGGGTCTCCAACATCATTGTCTTCTTGTGGTTAAAATTCTGGTCTACCCCAATGACTGGCTGATGTGAGTTCCCAGTCATTCGACTTGTCTGCTAGCTAGGGATCTGGTTCTTTCTCACTTTGTTTGCTTTAACTACCTGGACAACTGATGAAAGTTAAAAATTGGTACCTTCTCTGGTCATAACTTTGTTGGGATTGGTCTGATATACAGTACCAGAATGATCTCACCTTTCTCATCCACAATCTACACTTCTGCAGTTCCATAACCATCTATTGGTGCTGAAGAGGTCTTAGATTCACGTTGGCCCCTCAGCTGGGGCTTTGTTTCAAGTTCTCGCCCTCACACTTACTCGTATCCATCACTGCTCTGTCATCCATTCCAATGAGATAACCTTACCACCATACTATACATAATCGTACAACTCACACTTTCTTATTGCTGCCCTTTTCCATAACATTCTTGATTCAACGATTTACTGTACATATACTGTAGTTCTTACCACACTTTTCTTTATTATTACTGTAGATTTTTTGCACAGAAATTACATTAACGTCATGTATCAATGAGAAAATCAATAGGGGCTGTGGTGAGGATTTGAACCTATGCTCTGGGTATTCCCAAGCAAATGCTTTAGACAACTAGGCCATGACATGGTAAAAGGATTGCAACCTGAGATTCTACTGAATCCATGAGGATTCCTGAGGATTCCACTGAGACCAAGACAGGGTTCCCTCCCCAAGCACCCACCCTCCCTCTTGGCTCTGTCGTCCAAGAATTATACCTCTGATGCTTCCTCTTTCAGATGTAGGAAGATGCATCTGATGCATCTTCCTGCACAGGGAAGATGCACAGGGAAATCAAATTCTCCTACTGATTTTATGATTGATACATCAGGTTAATGCGAGTTCTCTTTGCATTTGAAAGAGGAAGCATCAGAGGTATAATTATTGAATAACAGAGCCAGAATGCATGGGGGGATTGTGTGAAACCCTGGCGCGACCTCAGTGGAAACCTCAGGAATCCTCGTGGATTCAGTAGAATCTCAGGTTGCAATCCTGTTACCATGTTGGGGCCTCTACAACATAGAGGATACTGTAAACTTCCAATCAGATGTAAATCAGGTCTTTCTGTGGGGTACAGAAGATAATATGGTGTTTAACGAAGATAAGTTCCAGCTCATGCGCTATGGAAAAAATGAAAATATAAAAACAGAAACCACGTACAAAATACAGTCAAATCATAACATAGAACGAAAAAGCATTGTAAAGGATTTGAGTGCACTCATTTCGGAAGACCTTACCTTTAAAGAACACAATAAGATAGCTGTCACAACTGCTACCTTAGTTGAAAAATGAGAGGTTGGATAACAAGAATCTTTCACACTAAAGATGCAATACCAATGATGATACTCTTCAATACGCTAGTGCTGTCTAGAGTGGAGTACTGCTGCACAATGACAGCCCCTTTCAAAGCTGGAGAAATTGCTGACCTGGAGAGCGTGCAGAGATCTTTTACTGCTAGAATTCACTCAGTAAAAAACCTAAACTATTGGGACTGACTAAAAGGCCTAAATCTGTATTCTCTTGAGCACAGGCGGGAAATATATATAATAATTTACACATGGAAAATAGTAGAGGGGCTGGT